GCCCCCCCCCCCCCACCCCCCACAAGGAAAAGGACTACCCCCACACGCGCTGTTTTCTTCTTCTTTCTTCATTTCTTCTTCCTTCCTTCTTCTCCTCCTCTTCCCCCTTCTTCCTTTTTTCTTCTTCTCCTTCTTTCTACTTTAAGTTCTCATCCTTCGTGCTATTTCCACCTTTTCTTATCTTATCTTTTCTTATCACCTTATCTTTCCTTTTCATACTTCCTATTTTTTTCTTTTATTCTCCATTTTCCTTTCTTTATTTGTTCCTTTTACTAGCAATAATAATTTTCAAGCTTATTCTTTTCCTCTTCTCTCCTTCTCCTATTCCTTCTCTACTTTTATTTTCAGACCGAAGAAAAATACCAAAATAGACAAATCATAATAAAAGCACTTTTTTCCGTATTTAATTTGAAAAGAATATTAGTCAAACCTTCGCGACTTTTTTGGAGGCGTGAAAGGATTTCATCGCTTTTCTATTGTTTTCTTTATTGTTTCGTCGAATTAATTATTTATGGGGCGATTAAAGGTGCGTGGACTACTTTCCGTGCCACAATTTGCAACAAAAAATAGATATCGTGGTTCCTGTTATTTCTTTTTTGTTTGAAGTTTCTTTCTTCTTGGCTTAAAGCACTTGTTAGAACGATACCGTGTCTACACTTCGCGTCTTTGTGTTCGGGAGAAATAATTGTGTATATATTGCTAGGTGGCGATATGCGGTTGTTCGTGCACGTATGCGCATGGAAGAGAGAGAGAGAAAAAATACGAAAAAGATAAATAAAAGAGAACCCAAGAGTGCATTCACCTTTCTCTCTTTTTCTTTCTTTCTCTCTCTCGCCCACTCTCTCTCTATTTCTCTCTCTCTCTCTCTCTCTCTCTCTCTCTCTCGCTCTCTCTCTCGGCCTCGCCCTCTCTCTCTCTCTCTCTCTTCTCTCTCTCTCTCTCTCTCTCTCTCTCTCTCTCTCTCTCTCTCTCTCTCTCTCTCTCTCTCTCTCTCTCTCTCTCTCTCTCTCTCTCATTCTCTCTCTCTCTCTCTCCCTCTCTCTCTCTTCTTTTCCCTTTTTTCCTTTCTCCTCCACTCCCTCTTTCTCTTTTTCTAACCCCTTTAACCCCTAACTCCATTTTTCGTACCTTTCTTTCCTCCTCTCTTGCTCTGCCTCTCCTTCCTTATCATTCACCCTTCCTCTCTCTCTCTGTCTACGCATCTGCCTCCTTCCTCTCTCTTCCTCACTCCTTCTCCTTATCACCTCAAAGTCGACACATCTAGGCGCAGTATCTCCCTCCTTCCCTCCCTCCCTCCCTCCTTCCCTCCCTCCCTCCTTCCCTCAGGCTTATTTTCCTCCTTCCAGCTCCACTCCCCTCTCTCCTTCGCTCGCTCCCTCCCTCCAGCGAAATCTTCCTCTCTCGCTCCCTCAATCTCCCTCTTTTCATGCTTCTACTTCTATCTCTCTCTCTCTCTCTCTTTTTTTTTTCTCTTTCTTTCTCTCTCTCTCTCTCTCTCTCTCTCTCTCTCTCTCTCTCTCTCTCTCTCTCTCTCTCTCTCTCTCTCTCTCTCTCTCTCTCTTTCTCTTTTGCTCCCTTCAGCTCCATCCCGGCCTCCCTCCCTCTTTCTAGTCCCATCGTCATTCCGCACTCTAGCTCCATCTCCTTCCCTCCCTTCGTCCCTCCCTCCCTCCCTCTCTCCTTCCCTCCCCCTTCCCTCCAACCCTATCCCCCCCCTCCCTCCCTCCCCGCCCAGAAACGAAGTCCGGACCGCACGGCACAATCTGTCAATTTAATCATCCGACAATTTTGCAATATCCGGCCAGCTCTGCTCCTCCGGTTGCCGCCGCGAGAGCTGACAGTTTCCCTCCCTCCCTCCCTCCCTCCCCTTCTCCCTTCCTCCCTTCCCCCCCCCCATTTACCACCTCCTCCTGACCCTCCTCCCCCCCCCCCCCTCCGTAGCCTCCTCGCACGGGGTCCCTCTCCTCCTTCTTCTTAAGGGACTACTTTTTTTTCTTGAATTTTCTCTCTACCTCTTTTCTGTTTGTCTTTCTCGCCTATTGTGTATCTCTGCCTGTCCTTTTGTCTGCCTATCGTTATTTTTTTTTCTCCTTTTTTGATATTCTCATCCTTTCTTTTTTCTATCTAAATTTCTAATACTCCGTAACCTACACAAATCATCTCCACTAAAGGAAAAAGTGCGCCCGGAAAGGAAGCTGAGGAAGAAGAAGAAATATTTGCATATCTGGGTAATTCCTTGGACGAACTCCCGCTCCCCCCCGCCTCCACCAGTCATGATTAAACAAAACTTAATTGGCAGTTTCGAGTCCGCATCCGTCCTTACATCGCTACTCCAGGTCCATAATGAAATAAAACTCTGTATCTCTCGCGAAATCTTCCGGGCGCAGGGCTCTCTCGTCCTCGCCGCCCCTCATTAGGTCGTCACAGGACACCCGGCGCCCTTATGACAATTTTTCCCTGACCAGAAGATTCCACGGAGAGATCTCCCTCCCCGTTCCCAGCGTGAGTGCCAGGGAATTTACATATCTCCACTTTAACTGGTACGAAAAAAAAACGAGGACGTATCCCAAGGTCCTCTTGGTCGTCGGTTCCAGGTAAGTTACCAGCGCAGGTACTGGGGTTATTGTCCGGTAACAAATACCCAGGTAAGCACAGAGCCGCGCGCCCTAACCCTCGCCAGCAGCCTTTTCAGCAGCGCGCCTCCCTCGTCACCTCGTCAGCTGTGTCACGCCGGGCTGAGAGCGGCCGGAGAGCCACATGGCTGACGAGGAGCCGGACCGCGTTCCTGGGGCTGACGAGAGCTACCTGTCGCGCCACCCATTAACTCATTACGCCGAAGCCTCGGGGAACGACAACACAACGACCCTTCTTTGCCTTCTCTCATCTGGCGAGACGATACGTCCCTTGCAAGCGCCGCCAAGGTCGTGCGAAGATGACATGTTGAACGCTGTTGAAATGTGCCTCGCTCGCCCGCATCGCGCTTCACGGCCGCTTTCGCACGGGGGGCGGGCGGGGGGAGGGGGGAGGCCTCTCGGAATGTGGCGAATTGGCAGAGGAACTTGGGAAACAGGCTCATCAGCAGCCCTCTTCTCGATCTTTTCCTCTTTCTCTGTCTCATTCATATGTCTGTCGATCTGTTTATCTACCTATCTATACTATATCTAAATATCTACATATCTATACAATATCTATATATCTATAGTATCTGTCTATGTAAGTACGTAAGCGCACACACACACACACACACACACACACACACAGAGACACACACAGACACACACACACACACACACACACACACACACACACACACACACACACACACACACACACACACACACACACACACACACACACACACACACAAACACACACACACACATTCATACATACAAACTCCGACACACACATTCATACATACACCCCCCCATACACACATTCATATATTCACACACAAACATATATACCTGTACAAACACAGATACATCGTTATACTTCTACCTTCCTGCACGGTGGAGGCCAAATGATGGCCTCCCCCTCCCCCCCTCCTTCCCCCTCCCTCCCCCTTCCATACACCACGACACTCACACATACATTACATTATTCCATTGTGGTCTGACACCCTAAACCTCCCTGGCGTAAGATACAGCTGTATTCTTCATCTCGCCGTAAGAAATGTTATTGTTATTTACCCTGATGAAAAATACTGCCGCGTTATTCACAGTAAAAATATGGACCGCGTCATTCATCATGAAAAACGTGACAGCTGTGTTCATCATCATGATTTACAAGTTATTGTCATCCGTTACGTAAATAACGTAGGTGTCATTAGTCGTAATGCATGAGTGTGTAGTCGTGTATTTTCGAGAAAGGGGAAGAAAAGAGTAAAGAACTGTTCATTTTTTGCATGATTTTCATTAGCTCGCAGTGTTTTCTAAGTATTATATGTGCTGACAGTGTTTTCTAAATGTCAAATGTGGTGGCAGTGTTTTCTAAGTATTACGTGTGCTAACAGTGTTTTCTAAGTATTATGTATGCTACTAGTACTTTCTAAGTTTTAAGTATGCTGGCTGTCTTTTCTAAACATTAAGTATGCTGACAACGTTTTTTAAGTTTTAATTATGCTGTCGATGTTTTCTAAGTTTTAAGCATATGTAACATAGAGCGTATCACTCCCTCTCGTTAACATCACTTGCGAACCTTAACACAGGAAGCAACAGACCGCCATTAAGCCTTTGCATCCGAGAGCCGCCGATAAGACATTACCTGCCATGTACGGCCACCTCAGATAAGAAGTGATAAGAATCAGTCAAAGTAAATACTAATGGTAATAATTACCGTAATTTTCATCAGCACCAATGACCATTACGAGCTCTATTAGTAGCAGCATTATCAAATCATCACAAACAAACGGACGGAGAATAGCGACCACCGAGCTCAGACGCCCACTCAACGGATCGGCGCAACAGGAACAGCGGGCCAAGCGTCCGTGGGTTGCAATAACAGCCGTTGCATGAGGCTAAGACGTGACGAAGGCAGAATTGCAAGGTGGTGTTGCAAGGCCATTCAGACAGATGGTGACGCAGAAGGGGGGGGGGGGGCGTGGCTTACTGCATTTCTTGGGGTCGCTTCCTACCTGCTCTGACCTCAGGAAAACGGAGGAAAATCCAAGACGTTTGTGTGTGTACATGTATATGTACATGTCTATATCTACATCTATCTATCTTTATATATATACATATATGTACATACACGTATACATACATACATACATACATACATAAATACATATATATACATATACATATGCATACATACATACATATATGTATGTATACATATGTGTGTGTGTGTGTGTGTGTGTGTGTGTGTGTGTGTGTGTGTGTGTGTGTGTGTGTGTGTGTGTGTGTGTGTGTGTGTCTACATGTATATTCACCTATATCCAGCCGTATCTAGTTTCCGTCCGGCTGTGGCTCTGGGCCCCGCGATCCGAGGCACGAGCGAGTGCCAGCCTCAGCCGGACCCGCGCGCACTCGCTCCCGCCCGCGCCCGCGAAGGCCTCCGCCGCGATCGCTCGCCGAAATCTACGATAAATCACAACAGGATCATCAAAAATTCACCAATATTTTTCTCGCTTCGTTATGCGGGTTAATGGAAGGTTTGGGGAGGGGGAGGGGAGAGGGGGCGAGGGGAGAGGGCGTAAGGGGATGGGGGTAGAGGGAGGGGAGAGGAGAGGCTTGAGGGCGTGGGGGGGAGGAGGAAGGGTAGGGTGAGGGGTGGGGAGGAGGGGGAGGAGGGAAGAGGAGTGAGGGAGATGACGAGGAGGAGGGGTGAATGGGGAGGGGAGAGGGGGCTCAGATTAATATTTCATATCGAGCAAAAATACACTTGCCTCTGCTTTTCAAAATCATTGCTCAAAACTTCGGTGCAACATTTCAGCTTTTTTCCGGTTAATACACCAGTATGCATAAATTAAGTATTCTAAAAATCTTTGGTGTAATTGATACCTTAGTCATATTTCGAAATAAACAGGTATCACATAACGAAAAAAGAGACAGAGAGAGAGGGGAAAAAAACACCACATCTAAAATTACAACGCAAAATATATTTCCAAATAACATCAACGTCATATCAAGAGTGAAGTCTCTTGAGTGCAAGCAACATCTCGCTCTCTACGACGCTGCCTTTCCGAAGCCTCCGTTGCACGCAATCTTTGCAACTGACTGACTCATTTAGTAGAGGTGATCAGATTTCTCCAAAACTACTGAACACCGAACCCAGGAATGGCTTTTAGGTGATTTCGCTAGATGAAGTATGTCCGGACACGCAGACACGGATATGCAAAGGTATACAGACACATGTGTACCCATGCAAACAAATAGATCCACATGCACACAGACACGCGAGCTCAAACAAAGAGATCCACACACATAACATAGGGAAAGGGAAATAGAGAGAGGGAAAGAGAGAGAGAGAAAGAGAGAAAGAGAGAGAGAGAGAGAGAGAGAGAGAGAGAGAGAGAGAGAGAGAGAGAGAGAGAGAGAGAGGGAGGGAGGGAGGGAGGGAGGGAGAGAGAGAGAGAGAGAGAGAGAGAGAGAGGAGAGAGAGAGAGAGAGAGAGAGAGAGAGAGAGAGAGAGAGAGAGAGAGAGAGAGACAGAGACAGAGACAGAGACAGAGACAGAGACAGAGACAGAGAGAGACAGACAGAGAGAGACAGAGACAGAGACAGAAACAGAGAGGAAAGGAAAGGAAAGAAAAAAGAGAAAGAGAGAGACAGTTACAAGAAAAAAAAAAAAAAAAAAATCGGAGTGACAAGAGATCCACGTGAAAATTAATCCCCAAGAAGGGCGAACTCCGCAAGCCAAAAACACCACAATTAACTTTTGATTAAGTCTTCGTCCGCACAATCCCGCCGTTTGCACAAAACAATCGAAGCCAAACATCCTGCGCAGAGCTTCCGCCATAAGAAAGCAAAATCAACATCGGAGGCATGCAATGTTGCAAAGCTCACACACATGCTTTGCAAAGAATCGTCCATTTTACAAGGTTCGCGGACTTTTGAAAAAAATTGTGCAGTTACCACGTTCACTTAATTCCAAGTTGCAAGTGCGTGCAGAGGAAAAGATTTATGTACTTGGGAGAATAACGCACTTCAAGTAGTTCATTAGCCCGTGGTGAAATTTCACACGCTCGGGGACTAAAAGCTTCAAAGAATAATGATGATAATAGCGAAGGTAATAATAATAATGATGGTGTAATGATGTTTGATGGATTGTGTTTGATGATGATGGTGATGATGATGGTGATGATGATGGTGATGATGATGGTGATGATGGTGATGATGATGGTGATGATGATGATGATGATGGTGATGAAGGTGATGATGATGATGATGGTGATGATGATGGTGATGATGATGACGATGATGGTGAGGATGATGATGGTGTTGATGGTGATGATGATGATGGTGAGGAAGGTGATGATGATGGTGATGATGGTGATGATGATGGTGATGATGATGGTGATGATGATGGTGATGATGGTGATGATGATGGTGATGATGATGGTGATGATGGTGATGATGATGGTGATGATGATGGTGATGATGATGGTGATGATGGTGATGATGATGGTGATGATGATGGTGATGATGATGATGATGATGGTGATGATGATGGTGATGATGATGACGATGATGGTGAGGATGATGATGGTGATGATGGTGATGATGATGATGGTGAGGAAGGTGATGATGATGGTGATGATGGTGATGATGATGGTGATGAAGGTGATGATGATGGTGATGATGATGGTGATGATGGTGATGATGATGATGGTGAGGAAGATGATGATGATGATGATGATGATGATGGTGATGATGATGGTGATGATGATGGTGAGGAAGATGATGATGATGATGATGATGATGATGGTGATGATGATGATGATGGTGATGATGATGGTGATGATGATGATGGTGATGATGACGATGATGATGA